CTATTGAAAGTTTGAAGTTTTTCGGAAAAGTACTCGAAATATGGCGGAAAGTCAAAAATTTTCACTAAGGGAGCCTCGCAAAATAAAGCCTGTCTCTTATACACATCTAGATGTGTATAAGAGACAGCACACACACATACATGTGAAGTAGCTATAACCGATGACATTGAAAACATACGCTAAAAGTGGTGACATAGTTAATCTTCGTTTTTTTATGTTAAAAATGTTTGTAATGCTATATCTGTGAGTAAGCAAGGGATGTTTAGCAACAGCCCTAACATTGAGTAGGCCATTGCATAACTGAGTACGAGTATGTCACAAGATACCGCTGCTTATATTTACAACACACAACGTGTGTCTATGAACTTGAAAAAATTCCTAACTAACGGTGACTTTTGAGGAAAAGCTCAGAAATCTCACCAGGTGGTATATAGAGGGAGCTCTCACTGTTTAAAGCTATTTCGACAACTGGCGACGTCATCGCTTGCGAGTATGTCATCGGTAAACAGGTGTGTCTACACACGTGTGTCATCGGTTGGTATGGGTTCACCAGAGCACACCCACACACACACATACACACACACATTTCACGTTCGAATTTCCCCGTTAGTTCCTTGTGACCTTAAGGTCACAAAAGAACTAAAGATCAAAGTAATCTTTATTACAATTTGTAAACAAATTGAAGTTTAACAATTAAAATCGAAAGAAGGATATCATGATTAACACTTTCGAAGGCATAGGAGTAGTCCAGAAATACCCCAACTGTATAAAATCTATTATCAAGTGGAGAGGTAACTTTATTAAGAAGCGATAAAATAGCATGGGTGGTGTGTTTCGCCCTAAAGCATATTTTGATTAGTTAAAATAGAGCTTGAATTAAAAAAAAAAACTAAGTACGAGTGTACATAAATTTTTTTAAAGATTTTTGACAAGTCGGTAAGTAATGAGATTGATCTATAATTTAGACAAGTTTTGGACATCCCCTTTCTTATGTATTGGGATAATTTTTGCGACTTTCATGTGGGATGGTACAATATCACATAATATCGAATGAAAACAAGAGCTAAAGGTTTAAAAATTGTCATAAGCAACACTGTTTTAATAAATCATGAGAGATTCCATCGAATCCCAGGCTTTTTTTTTTACTTTTCAGTTTATTTATAATTTAAAGTACCTCAATCTCGGTAACAGAAGTAAACATTGAAGTAGTATTAGAAACATCAGATAATGTTTTGGAAGTAATATAACATTCCTCAGAATTATGTGACATTCCTCTATTAAAAGCAAGTTATCTCTATTACTTTTTGGATTCGTGCCTAGTATGTTTCTGATCACTTTCCATGTGCCTTTAGTGTCGTTGAGAACGCCTTTAAATTTGTTAAGGAAGTACTTACTTGTTGTTAGTTTATTCTTAATTTTGGCATATGCTATTTTAGAAACATTGGTGAGGTCTTTTTTCCATTTAAAATAGAGTCTGCCTTTTTAGTTGATTCACTTTTAGTAGCGGTTTTGTATCCATGGTTTCATTATTTTATTCTTCTGTTTGTGTGACTTGAATTCAGTTACATCAAAACAATCATCACGATGTGACTTAAAAATCTTCATAAAATTATCAAACGCCAGGTTTGCATCTTCAGTATGAAAAAACAGATTCCAAATTTTTGTTAATTAACTTTATTTGACAGTGTCAAATATTAACAATATTTGACAATGTGAACTAAGCTTTGACTACCAATGCCTTTTCACATGGAATTAAATATATCTTAATTATTAACATAATTATGCATGCATCAGTGTTTTATGCTTATAACTATTCCTCTTTATTCAATCTAGATTGTGATACTAGAACAACGGGAAAATATGGACCCGGATGCCTTCTTGATTGTCACTGTGATGCTACCGAGTGTCAGCGAACAGAAGGCTGCAACCAAGCCGCTAATTGTCATGCTGGTTACACTGGCACCCGTTGTCTAGGTTTGTAAAGATGTAATTATTTTCATAATAACGTGAATGATTATTTTTAAAACAACAATGGAATTTGTATGGATAGTTTATCTTCAGCATCATCATTCATTCTTATTTTATTTGTGTTTTACTTTTATGTCAGAGAGAGATCAGAATGTTGAGTGTCCTGATGGTGTTTATGATCCACAATGCACTAAAGTATGTCATTGTAGAAACTCGTCGAAATGTGATCGGAATACCGGAAGTTGCCCTGCTGGTGATGTGTGTGAAGATGGATGGGCTGGGGTAGGATGCCAACAAGGTAATTATTTTAGATGAAAAAATGATATGCATTTAAATTTCCATCCAGTTAATTGTTTTATAATGCAACTGTAAAGAGATATTTTCTGTTATAAAAAAAATGGAAACAGTTAAGATCATTATCTGTTATGTTTGTGAATACTGTGATCATACATCCAGGTATCCTTACCAACATGTTAAACTGCGAAAATATTCTATAAAAGTCATTTTTCACGAAGTACTGAATCGAAATTAGTTTATGAAATCTATTGATAGGCACAATCGAATTGCTAATCACAAATTTTAATTCGATCAGTACGCATCACGGTTCTGTACTATGTTACAAACTAAACTGTATTCATTTTTGTTTTGTTTGTTGGGTAGAGTATATGGAGTTTCTACTTAGTGTTTAGCTTACCGATATTAATGTTTAAATAAAGACTTTGTTGTGTCATTGAGCAAGGCACTTAATCTCTGCTTCTCTTTACCCCTAAATAGTCTCTTGTGGGTTGTCTGCTCCTGCGCTGACGACAGCAGCAACACGTGCGGACACAAGTGACTTGGCGAAAAACACATTTGTGAAATGCTCAATATTTTATTTTATTTTTATATTCTTTAATTCTTTTTTTTTTAACTCTAGGTAATCTGATCAGTGAGAAAACATTGTTATCCTTTAGGGTTAAACAAAATAAACACTCAATAAATCATTAATGAAAGTTAGTATGCTACTAATTCTATCATTTCAAGGCAAAAGGGACATTATATTTGTAAAACTGTATACAATGAATTGCATAATTGTATTATTGTGATAAAAGTTGACTACTTTTCTTTAATTTTAGCTCTTCCGGCTCTTAGCGATGCTCCATTGGTCGGAATGTTTGCAAATGATGTCAAACTAAGGTGGTCAATCTGGAGTTTGGACAATGACTATGGTCGTGGTACCGTCGACAGTTACCAATTGGAATTCTGGCCAACTAATGATACCAGCGAGTTAGTTGTTCTAAGTATTAAAATGGGAATTGAAGTAAACATACCGTGGGCACAAATGAACTATTACTGGGAATATACTTTCAGAGTAAAAGTCGTTACTGAAGTTGAAGGTTTGTTAGTTGTTGGGAAACCTAGTCCACCTGCTGTCTATTCAATATGTAAGTGTTGTACGCCATCACTATCTAACAAATGTCCATATACTGCTAATACGATGATGTATAATAAACGCCTAAAATAGCCTTTAATATAATAATATTATTTTAAATAAAATTTAATAATAACACTGCTATTACCATTATCATGATTATCATGATTATTCAACCGCACTAATCCAATAAATCATTTTACTGTCATTGTCTTCATTGCATTGTATACTGTAGATCCGCCCTCTCTACGAAATCAGCCATTTTTCACTTCACGCAGTTCACTTGGTATTAACATCACCTGGACTGAGTGGACATTCAATCTTGATTACGGCATAGGATTTGTAACTGGTTACGTTGTGGAATGGTGGGATGCAGTGGCAGCCTGGAATATCAGCAACGTCACATTTTATGGAGAGTCTTCTGAAGGGATACTCATTCCCAATATTCCATATGATTCAAACGTTGTTGTACAAATAAGAACGCTGTATAATAACAGCAAAAGTGAAGGCGTTGGTCTGCCTAGTCCAATGCTGGTTGTATTTAAGGGTTAGTAGAACGTACCTCCGCCAATGAGGTTACGTATCACCGATCTGTCTGTCTATCTGTTAGCAGGATTACGCAAAAACCAAGAAATATGTCATCCTAAAATTTAGTGAAATGGCACATAATAATTTAAGAAAGAGGTAGTTAAATTTAGAAAGAAAATGTCAAGTCATGAAATTTCCATTATTTTTTTCACCCTTGAGCACAAAAGAAAATAATGGAATTGCCCATACACGACCTGTGTATTGTTTAGTATTAATGCACAGGGCAGAGCTATGTACTCTATGGAGTTACTGATCTCGGGGTTTACCATCAGATGGATTATTTTGCGTTTCAATGTTGTATATCTTCACCAATATAATAGTAATATTAATAATAGAGTAATAATATTAATAATTAAGGTAATAATGAAGATAAGGCCATTGACAATGATGATGAAGATGATAATAATGATATAACTGCTATTAACTTAGAACTACCCATTAGACATGTTCACGAGGTGTATTGCACCATTTCAAAGCAACTTAAGGCACGGAAGCCGGAGGAGCACACAATTCACAGGTGCTCAAGTAATGGTCAGGTTGTACATAATTGAAAAAAAAAAATCACTAAGTCACCAAGACATGTTTCTGCCCTCTTAGAAAGCTGTCCGTATGGATGGAACCAATTCGAAGAAGCATGTTATTTGTTTGGTGACAGTGTTGTCAACTGGAATAATGCAAACTCATCGTGTCAACAAGCAAACGCAAATTTGGTATCAATTACAACGCAGAATGAAAACGACTTTTTGACGTCACTTCCATACAACATACCTCACGGACATTTCTGGATCGGGTTGAAGTTTGTAGCTCTGAACTGGAACTGGACATCGGGGGAGACGTTTGCTTTTTATAGTATGAAAATCTTTCAATATAATTTGACATTGAAATTGCTGGATATACTTTGTTTATTTTATGCTCATGATAACAATTTTCGTAGTAAATCATATAAACAAAGATACTAGCTGGATATAAACTTACGTAAATTGCCATCATTTGAAACAGAATGGCACCGCGTAACGTCTGGATCTGCGTAAAAGATATGACATATCTGCTTCACTTTTGCTATGCGAGAGTTCTAGCTTGTGTTTCTAGTATCTTCGATATAAATCACTAAAGGTAAACGTTTGTTTAGATCTGTAGCTAGAAGATACTATTATATATGATGATTTTACTTTTAACACAGAAAATTTATGTTTAACTCGTAAATATAAAGCAATATGCATTCCTAGAATTATAGGAAATTGTATAGTGTTGATGTGCGATGGGCAAGTATAGGCCTACTGTTTCTCTCTGTGAAACATATTGTCGAGGATACTAAGCCAAAATGTATTCTTATACTTTTTATTTGTTATCAACAATATACTTTTGTTTTTGTTAGACTGGCAGGAGGAAGTTATACTAAACACAGGAAAGTGTGCACAATTGGATTCTGTGACCGGCTTCTGGTCTAATGTCCCTTGTGAAACAACCAATAGAGTCATCTGTGAGAAAGGTAAAAATTAGTTTAAAAAATTGACGATGCTGATGAATCGTTAAAAAATATATCATCTATTACTGTTATTATTATAAATTGTATTACTTAACACTTCGTCAGTGGTTTTCCTCAGCAACGTCAAAGATGTTCGTCAGAAGTAAGACAATAAATCCACAAATGTTGACGCTCATGCGTATACTAATGAAATATATTATGATTAGTATTGTTTGTTTTTCGAAATATATATATATACAAAAATATATACTGATTAACATTGATGTATATATACATACTATATAATCAAGTTTCATTATTGTCGTTTTATGTTTATAGATATTCAGAAATTTGGCTGCTTTAATGGGAGTTGGCATGGGTATAAGAAGGAATGTTACCGTCATTTTAGTAATCTATCGTCGCGGGAAACAGCTTTATCCTCCTGCCGAGAGTTGCGAAATGCCGACTTGGCTAGCATCCATTCAATCGATGAAGATGAGTTTATTCAGACTATCATTCGGTCCTACGACAAAAATTCGTGGATTGGCCTTATTTCGTGTAAGTAGGCTTTGGTCCAATCGTTACTGTACCAAATTTTAACGGTTTTATATACCTTTATTTAGCATTCACCTCTTGAATGAGAGCACAATTTCCCCTGTGATGAAAGCTCAGCGCATTTCGCAGAGAGAAAGAATATCTGTTATAAGTCAGTTGTGACGTCATCATTGCAACTCCTAATGTTATTTGCCTATCCACCACAGTACAATAATTGTTCACATAGTGTTTCCGATCCTTGGCTTGATAAGCTTTTTTTAGTCTCGTGTGCAAAAGGTGGAAACAATTTTCTACACGATACATCGCGCACCGCGATGAAAATTGAATTGTTATTGAAAATTACTTTCGTAAAACAAGGTTAATTCACATGAAACAAATTAACGTCAAATTCAATATTATGTATGAACAATTAAGGAATTTCTTGAGTCAATATACCCTAATAAACTAAACAAACTGAACATTTAATAGGAACTCGACTTATTTTAAAGACTCAATGAAAGAAATTTTATATAGGCCTATTCAGGAGGTCTTCGAGGCCTAGATCGTAGCCTAGCCTGATTATGCAACCATCGCATGATTTTACCTGTCTGCACCGAATAAAAAAATGTGATTACTGTATTTTATCAAGTGTTTTAAGAAATGTTTATTTCTTTAACGAATGTCTCTCAAAATAGTATTACAAACTTCACCCAAAAGTTAAAGATGTATCCATACTAAAACTGCTGCAGCTGATGTGTAACGTCACTGTGTGTTAACGTGTACCGCAGGAGCACAAATCAGCATACGCACAACTAAATGTAATACGCACACAGCATACCGAGCGATAAATATAGCAATCGATAACTGCATGCTACATACAGATGATTATCAAAACTAACATTAAAAGACGGTGATTGACTTATAAAGCAATTAATATAACTGCATACATCATACACTTAGGTTATATTTAATGCATTCAAAAATGTTTTCAAGCGTGAATCTAACTTTCGTATAATAATTTTGCGCTAGTGTATATATACGCACCTCTACTAATTGCTTACTATGGATTTAGGCTGTTGATGGCCAACATTTCTATTCGTCTAGCCCTGACTAAGATTTTAATGCACTTAATTTAGGAGAGAATATCTGAACTGATGTAGACAAATTTGAAAACAAGGAACAACATGGGATGTGTACCAACATATGTATCCGGAAAGAACAGCCCCAAAAATGATTATAGCCTTTTTTAAATGATCACACCCCATTTTTTTGAAGTGCTACTTCCTACTTCCTACTACTGTCTAGCCTACTGTTTAAGGTAGCACTTCCCAATGAGAAAGGGGGCGTGTCCATTAAAAAAAGTGTGGTCATCATCAGACTCTTCGTCCTGGATACAGATTTTGGCACACGTCCCATATTGTTCCTAGGGTTCAGTCTATATTAGTTGAGTTATTCTCTCTGAAATTAAGTGCATACAAATCTTAGGTCCTCTTCTATGACAGTTTAGTATCCACTGGTGAAAATTAGAAATAGTTAAGATCTAATACAAATTATTAATTTTTTTTTTTTGCATTACGTTAGATTTACACATAAGTATATACATTTCATTATGTAAACAGAAATAGATCAACATTTTTACTTAACAGTATTAATTTTCTGTCGTTTGCTCTCTTTTAATCTAGCTGACAAAGAGAAGTGGAGCGATGGCACAGATTTTAACTACGGTGAGGTCATCGACACTGGTGCAGAAGGTCGGTGTGTCGTTTACAGTCTGGAAAAACACATTTTCTCTTGGAAAATGCAGTTGTGCGCATCTGAACATGCGTACGTGTGTAAGGATATGAGAGGTAAAATGTAGTCTCGCATATTGAATTGTTTCTATCGCATCGGTGTAAATAGTCAAAATTTGTTTAAGAAGATATAACAATCCGGTACAATGGCTCACTATTCTCAATCTAACATTTCTTACTATTTCCACAGCATTAACAATTGTTTTTACATCATTAGCCATCTGGTATAGCGACTGGCGGACATACTACTTAGAAAATTTAACATTTCTTTTATCTCTATTTACAGCATTAACTATATTTTCTCTAAAGCAACTTGATTTCATTTCAGCGCAACAATTAAAACTTCTAACGAAAAAATTATCGTCTAACCAGAAACCATGTTTTTTCTTCAGCTAAGTAATTGCAATGAAATGTCAAAGAATTAATTAGTTTTATTTCAGCTATCGAAGCAACTGAATAGTCTTTTTTGGTTCTACGGACACCAACCTATGTTATATTGTATGACGGGTCAATAATTAGTCTGGTAGGTAAAGCTATTATTGTTATTATCATTATCATTGTTGTTTCTTATCATCGTCATCATCATCATAATCATTATCATCAGTATCGTCATCATCATAATGTATTACTAGTATCGGCTAATTGGAATTATTGTTACATTTCGTTATCAACCTAAATTTTTGAGCGAATGGACCTTCCCAGATTGTTGGTCTAACTTAACAACTGACCAACCAGAAGGATACGGGCTTGTCCCATAAGCACGTCTGTTGTTGCACAGACGTACGTGTGTACCTAATACCTAGGTTTTATGCTGTCATTTTGTGGTCTGTTTGCAACAATAACCAAGGGGCGGGCCTTGCGGAAAGGTCCATTCTGATAAAATATAAAAGGTACATGTTGAACATCAGCAAGCTGCGAATTGCTGTTGTGTTGTGCTTACAAAAATAAATGTAGACAGGTTTTTAACCACTTCTTACCATCTATGTATATCAAAATTCAAGTCAAATATCAGTTGTATCGTTTTGTTTGGGCGCCGAGTATCATTTGTTCAACTTCTCTTGTAAGGAGAGAATTTCAGAACTAATGTGTACTGGGGACGTGCTGGTTTTCTAAATTGTGTCCTTTCTAGCTTTTATTCATATGCTATCACAAAGTATTATGCAAAATGCTTTTGGTAATTTCAAAACCATGCAGTCTTGCGTAGTTTCAGACCGATGGTGTTGTATGGAAACGCCTAAAAATATATAGTCCTTGGTGAAATAAAATGTATTATATATGGATAGAAAGCCATACTGGTGGTGCTGTGGTCTCTGTAATCTCTAAGAAGAATAATCTGGTAGCTAAAAAGGTAGATACAGTAAAGCCCTGTGCAGACTGTCAAATTGTGTTTGATAAAAACATGTGACAAGCTTAAATATGCAGAAGAATATATCACAGCATATCGTAAATATGGTCATGTTGTGATCGATATTAGAGCATGACCATATATAGGCACATCATGATTGGCATACAATAGTTTTTTTTTTGTCAATGATAATTTGATTGTGAGGACAGAGCTTAACAGTGATAAAACCACATTATTTAATGGATCTCTGATACAAGGTTGTCTCTAACTATGACTTAGAGGTCGTCTAAGACCAATGAGTTCGAAGTTATTTTTGTCAATAGTAATACAATTTTATACAATTTTTTTATTAATTTAGTTTTTAGTTTTATTTTAAATCCTGAAATATTTTCAATTTTGTATAGGCCCTATAGGAAGAAAACCATGGTACGATTTACGGTACATATTTCAACATTTGACACAATTTGGTATCATCTTTTGGAAGTGCATAGCAGAAGAAAGCATGGCATATTTTTTTAAGAACGCATGAACTAGATATTGATGAATGAAATTTGACAAAGAACCTGCATAAAATAGACATGTGATTAAAGTTTGACCACTTAACATACATCAACTTCTCTGGTGTATCGCATGTAAAAGAAAATATTGACGACTTGAATGTGAATTCAATGTATTATACTTGCGACATACCGTAATCTTTTAATATGGTAGGGCTGCAAGCATTTATCATATGTGACCCAAGCTCACAAACGAGTTGTAAACTCGTCCTCAGGCCAAAATGAGTTTTTGTTATAATGGCATAGAACATAGCATTTACTTTAAAATGACAGTTAAATGAACTCAATCGGGTGTCTGGAAACAAAGTTATGACCGTTTGAATAATTGTCATCTTATGAACTTTCTTAAATTAAGTTTTGAGAAAAATGCTTTTATTTTCGGCAGGTTGCTATTCATTTTTCATTAGTTCCCATTCGAAAATGGCTAAATTTTACCTCTTACAGTTGGAATTTTAAACTCAAACTTCAGGAATAGTAAGATTAATAGTATAATTTATTTATTACACAAAAACCCAATTCATACAAAATTCACATTCTACGCCCTATTCTGGGTATTGAGGCTTGTTTCTCAATACAGTGCAGTGCGAGTTTACAGCCTGTTTGTGAGCTTTTGTCACATATTATTTTATTATAGTCATTCCGTTTTAGTCAAATCTATCTGGCATCTCTATGCCCATATTTGGTTGTGAAACATTAATCCCATTTCATACATAATTATGTAATATAATTTGTTCCTGTTAACGTTTTTAAGTGGATTTTTCCTGAAACATGTATGTGTGTATACCCCTCTAATAAAATTTTACAGATACAGGGTCTAGATGACTGATTCCCGTAAAAAAGTATTTACACAATTTTCTGGCAATATACATCTTATTAAGGCAATTCTGGTGGCCATTTTTGCATTTTGGCGGCCATCTTGGATATGAAGTAAACTTTTTCAAATTAATTCAGGATTAACAAACAGATAATAGGCAGATTTTTTCAGAATTATGTTAATTTGGCGGCTATTTTGCATTTTAGCGGCCATCTTGGATTTGAGGCCAAATTATGGGTGGCATTCAATTGACCATGAAAGGTTTATGTCTAAGATGACAAATCCACTGATTAAAACATCGACATTTAAAACCAAATAATAAGCTGCAAATCTGGAATTATTGTATTTTTCGCGGCCATTTTAAATTTTGGCGGCCATTTTGGATTTGAGGCCAATTTCTGTGTGGCCCTCGCTTGATCTTGAATGGTTTATGTATCAGGTGACAAATCAACTGTAAAAACATTGACATAACCGAATAATATGCTACATTTTTTCTAATAATTGTGATTTTGGCGGCCATTTTGGATTTTGGCGGCCATCTTGGATTTGAGGCAAAATTCTTGGCGGCCCTTGATTGATATTGAAAGGCTTAGGTCTGAGGTGACAATTCCACTTCAAAAAAGTTGACAACACCAAATAAATATGTTGTATATCTCTAATAATAGTAATTTTGGCGGCCATTTTGGATTTTGGCGGCCATCTTGGATTTTGAGGTTAAAATTTGGGTGGCCCCCCAAGCTTATTTCAAATAGTATGGGGTCAGGATGATAAAACCTCTGAGAAAACCTTGACCGGAAAAAATGGCAGTTTATTCTTGGCTGGGACCTGTCTAAATTATTTGTTATAGCATAAATGTACAATATAATCACAAATTCTGATTACAGTACTTGATTAATACATATATTTTATAGGCCTACTATCTTCTAAAATTTTCTTATTTTTAACTTAAGAATATGTAAATTTATTATAATATAAAATATTTGCGATATTTTGATTATACCACTTTTATTTAATTAAAAATTAAATGAAATTTTATTTTCTATAATAAATAAAATTTTATACAATAATCACATTAAATGATGTGGCCTATTTGAATATAATTATAAAAAGCATGATCATAATATTTATATTAAGTAATCAATAATATATATTAACTTTTATATACTTTAGTTATGATTATAAATAAGTTATTACATTAAATAATTTGATATGTGCACATATTACTATATGTGTATTTTTTACATTAATGTTAAATTTACATCAGCTAGAACATACTCACAGGTGGGAGACGATCGATCAATAATAAGAGAGAAAAGTTCAAAGGAGTTTAAATATATAGACGTTAAAAATAAAAATTCAGGTTTTTAAAAACTTCAGATGGAAATATGATGATGCCACAATGTCCGATCAGCAATAATGATCTATAAAATCATATCTATAACTCATGTGCTTTCAGAATATTTAATAAAAATTGGGGTCACCTTTCGTCCTAAGGAGCTATAACTGATTAAAAATAGGCATAATTTTAAGAATACTGTATATAAATGTTGACGCATGCGTACGCGCAAGTTAAGACGCGCGAATGGAAAACTGAGGTACCTGACATCAAACCTTGACCTGAAGTGTGTGCCCATTGAATATGATTCAGAAATGGCGAATGGTTAAGATGATTATGGGGTCTTTAATGTTTTGAGGAAAGAAAGATGAGGGGGTTGGGGTCTGAAAAAACATTTATTTTGACCATGATGACGTCATCAAATTATAAGTAAAAGTCATGTATATGAAAGAGAATTGTTTCAGCTATAACATTCTCAAAGTTGGGAGACGATCGACCAAGGATAAGCGAGATACGCTCAAATGCGTACTATTTTCAAAAAATGACGTATCGATAAAATTCAGTTTTATTGAATTCAGATGGCAATATGATGACGTCACAATGTCTGATCAGCCATTATGATCTATAAAATAATCATATTTACAACTCATGTGCTTTCAGAATATGTAATAAAAATTGGGGTTCATCTTTCATCCTAAGGAGCTATAACTGATTAAAAATAGGCCTGATTTCAGCATATTTTCACTGTATATCAGCACAAATCCGCGCAAAGATCAAACCGTCGCAGATTACTTACAATCAGAATTTATACCCCTAAAGTTGGGCCAATTTATTTTTTAAGTGTGCTGCGGCCGATGCAGTTCCGACGGCCCTGTTAAATTGTAGGCCCTAATCGGTATAAGGCCTAACATAAGCAAACACAGCACTTAATGAGAAAAAAAAAAAAAACATAAGCAAACAAAAAAAAAAAAAAACACCTTTTAACATTTCAAGAAATCATCTACAGCGTGATAATAATGCAGAGGATATTTAGGCAAGTGAAATGAATGAACGTAAGCCTACTCTCGAACCATAGGGCCATCGAGCGGAACGGTTACACCACTGCCTAGAGAGGTGTCATATTTTTTTAATGTGCTCATCTCAGCCCCAACCATGGTGGGGAAGAGGTGGGTATGAACCATAGTCCCCGCTACGCGTCTGCCAATGTAGAGCAGGATGGGGATGGGTAGATGGTTTACAGGTTTACCAGCTGCTCTATTCCTGGATATCCAGAGATGCCAAAGAACAAAATTGACCAATCAACTAGTACTAGTCAGTCAATCAAGCAGTCGGTCATTTGATTGTTTGGCGAAACCTAGTAGTTATGGACAACTATAAAAATGTTATATCCACGTATTTATGAAATTCAAACTGAATATTCAATATATATAAGTAATAAATACATAAATGCGAGTACATTGAACTAAAACGTGCCAAAACTTCCCAATTAAATTATTTTATTACCGATTCATTTTTTACTGTGTCTGTGTATTATCGATAACAGGTAATGATGAGGCAACACTCTGAGACTAACTTTAATAATGTAATTTTATTAGACAGGCGATTTGCCAGCTTCATCAGATGCATGAAGAAACAGAGAGAATGAATTAGTTATGCAAAAGTTATTTTCTGTTTGTTCACGTTACACTTCACACATCTGATGAAGCTCGTGTTTAATAAAATTTCATCATTAAAGTAGTCTCAGGGTTCGGCCTCATTATTACCTGTTATCAATATTTGTTCAGAATTTTATTAATCTCAATAAATTACCTGTATTTACCGATTAAAATACCAGTGTTTGAGTTTCGTTTGTTTGTCTGAATTAGATGTATTTTTGCATGCAACTGAGTCTTGAAGGTGTTGAAAAATGTGTGAAGACGATACGATGAGGATGATCATAATAATATATTTAATATAAATTCATTGTGAAAAATACAAAACAAATGATTAAATTGAAAAACAAATACAATTCAAGAATGTAAGAACGATATTTTTCTAAGCCTTTCAGTGACTTGTTTCGAGGGGGACTGATACATTAGGGAGCTTTCGATTTGCTCGACGACTCGACGTTAAAACGGAATCACTCATACATGACCGTCCTACTGGGGATTCTACGTTCTCTGCATAAGTAGATTTGGCCAAATTGCGTACTAGAATGTACGCGACGAGGAGAACTTAACGTTCTCGCTTGCACAGATGACTTTTAGTAACGTCATTACGTTCTACATCCTATCGTCGTACAATCGAAAGCTCCCTACTAAGAACTATTGACATTAACGTTACTCCTCTTCAGCAACATCGGATAGTGTATTCCTGGTTCCTTGCAGAAGGTGGTTCCTGAGAAAGATCCCACGGAGTGGAGGCTGGTGACCACGACACTTCTCCACAAGAATCGAAAGTTCCACTAATTAATCTCAGATAAGATAGTATAATACATACTCCATGTATCGAAAAGCGCGCCATCGTGTCGGCATTCAATATTTCGACATTAATTATGTCATCATCAGGAAGATCCTTCAAAATGTCCTTCTTAGAGGTGCTACTGGACTTGATGTACACAATACCAACGGTGATAAGAAGGTACCTAGAAAGAAAAATGGATAATCTAAATATTTAACAATTTAACTGATTAATATATGAAAGCATGAACCATCATAGTTTTCAGTTTGATTAAATGGAGTGACGCTGGCAGCAGACCAAACGGACTGTGGAAGCTAATTGCAAAATGCTGGTGAGGCCACTAAAAATCTATTGACTAGTCTAAGAAAGCGAAGTGTACGTCAGGTATGTTGTGAGTAATTCCTGCAAATAAGCAGGGTCATATCTATTTTAACATTTGTAAACTCGAGCAAGATCTTGAAAACAGTCTTCTTCGAAATAGGCAGCTAGTGAAAATATTTCAATACTGGTGTAATGTAATCATGGTTCTTAATGTTGCAAATAATTATAGCAGTTGTATTTTGTATAAACTAAGCGATGTACGATTGTCGCCATACAACAAAGAATTAACCATATCAAATCCTGTCGAAACAAAATATTGTACGATCTGT